TAGCAATGCTTTTATGAGGGCATGATATTCGTGGCTTTGCACAAGCACAATGCCAGGTATTCCTCTGAGCATTGTAAGTCACAAATATTCTGCCAAGACGGCAGAAACTGTGTATTTCAGGCTCAAGTACAGAGAAACATATCTGTGAGGAGGATCCACCAAAATCTACCCTCACACAAAGTGGAACATGTGTCATCTGGGCAGCTGTCTGTCTCCTTAAGCATGCCGCAGCCTTGTCCTTTCCGAAGAATTTCAGGACCACCATTTCCATCAAAATAGCTTCTTGAAGAAATACCTCTTTCACAGTTTCTCTACAGTAATCTAGTGAGCGAATGTGCTCACATAAACTGTAGCCTAGTCCGCTCCGCTGAGCCAGCAACTGATATTGCTGACATTCCTCCAGCTCACATCTGACACTGTGAGATCTCCCCCATGTTTTCCTCTGAACGTGAACTGGCACTGAAAACCCATGGCCAGTTCTCTGCACAGCAAATAAGCCAGTAGTCTCATCTACACAAACACACTGCAGATGACAGGCCAGGTAAACATCCAGTGATCTGTTTGAATGCCTCCTCATCATGTGAGCCTTTAAGTTTTTTTTAAGAAGACTAAGACCACAGTGAGGGCATTTCATTCTTATTGACTTCCCATAAGCCACAGTTTCATTCAGCACAGAGGGTAGAGCATATGAATGTTCTACCAATGGTTCAGAAGACTGTTTAGACACTGGACAGAGGACATCGGGAGGGAGACGGGGCTCCTCGGAGAGTGCAGCGGGAGGGAGACGGGGCTCCTCGGAGAGTGCAGCGGGAGGGAGACGGGGCTCCTCGGAGAGTGCAGCGGGGAGCAGTCCTGACAGTGGTGGCTGACTTGGTATTGAAGAATGCTGACATGATAATAAATGTCTTGCCATATCCCAGCGCCGTATAATTGTCCTGTTACAGACAGGGCAGTGAAAGTGTCCTGTCCTCCTACATGGCAGCCTGCACCGGCATATAATTTTGTCTGTAAGAGAGAAAAAAAACACATGTCATTTAAACGTAGTTATATAGAATGCAATCAATTTATCTAACAGAGTGTACATGTTAACAAAAGCATAAATAAAATAATGACCATCCAATCCTCTATAGTAAAAGCAAAAGGGTATGGATCACATGTGCCATCAAGCAATGTGGTGAAGAGGAAAGAAAAATATATTTAATAAAAACAAGTTTTTTCTTGCTGATGAATGCACTGAACTGTACAATGTGATAGCAACTTTTAAGTCAACAAAGACACTACAGAAGTTCTGAAAACAAGTGCATATAACTATATTTATAACTATAAACTATATTTAATACCAACATACCTTTGAAAGGCAAAGCATTTTTAATGTGTCCATTTATATGTTCCTCCATCTTTGCCCTGACAGTAGGGCTGACAGTAGGGCACAGAGGGCAGTGAAAGAGTCTCCTGCAACATGTTGTGCATTCCTGCAGTGCTGGCTTTGAGGCAGAATCACAGATTGATATGTGCATCTAAAACAGAGAGAAAAGAAGATAAACACCATATACACATTTGAACTATTTTGATGCTACTTTATGCTACTGTATGTTCTTCAAAGTGCCGAGACCCTTATTCTACTGACCACATTGAGGGAGCAGAGAAAATGTACTAGACAACAGATTAAGTTGAAATTATGAGATCAAATACATTTTGGATGTAAAAAAAAAAAAACCAGTTCAGGTTTTAGCAGAAATAACACATTACACTTAGCATGTAATAGTGATTTCTCAATGTTACACTGGTAACAATTACTGTTTAAAACCACTGTGCTTCGTGATAACGATTTAGCAGAATAACATGTAAGAACCATGAAGATTTGGGGAGAAAGGTCTATACAAAAAGATACTTTACAAGACTTTTAATTGTGACATACGTATGTATTGACATACAACACATACAATTTAACAAAGGCGAACTAAAAACCGGGCAATAAAAAAGCATTAGAGAAAAGAATAAAGAATAGAAGTATTTATAAATATATAAATCTCTTTCTGAAGCACTTTACAACGTCGATGCAGGTGGAATGAGAGACATGAATAAAGCGCAATATGCAGTAAATGGAACAATGTACATTGATGTTACAGACCATGAAAAGTAGTGAAGTGAATTTGTTCAATAGGAAACAAAAAACAAATACATTTGAAACTGACCACTATATTCCAACAATAACTAATTCTAATGCAAAATGTGGTTTAGAGATATTTTTGGTCATGTCGCTCACAGAAGCCCTTAATC